CTGTTGAATTTGAAGGTATATTTCAAACGTTCAATGGTATGGAGCATGTTCCATGGAGATATTGGATTCATAATATTCTTTTTACCATTGATTGACTGGGTGTTTATGGGGTTTTACATACATCGATAAGGGATGTCAGCTTTGTGTGTTGTGATTACCCTTTTGAGTTGGTGCTGTAGGAAATTTTTTGAAGTTTGGTGATTTTTTTTTCACCTGTTGGAATGAATATATAGTTTGAAATGATGTGCAATGGTGATAGTTGGTTATATGAGCTTGAACGTTATATCACAAATTATTTGCTTCTGTTGGTATCCTTGGTATCCTGTTTCTGTTATGCTACTTCGCGTTCATTTCATTTTTATTTTTAAGATTTTCGTATTCATTTCTTTTTAATTATGTGTTTATCATAAACATCATATGATGGTGCTTAACACTACACTCATTGTTGAGGCATGGAAATTCAGAAATGTCTTTTGTGCTTTTTTTTTTTTACTTCATTATATATGCCTTTGAAGTAATACTTTGATTTTATTTTTTCTCTTTTTGTATATGTTCCATCTGGTAAGAGTTTTAAATGTTGTTGCCATCAAAACAAAGAATGTCAGAGTGTCTGGTGGACAGACTTCTATGACATGCACCTAATTGTTGACATTGAGTCTGTTTTCAAGGTTCCGGGGTATAAGTTACAAATTGTTATTGTCCACCATATGAATTTTTTTTCATGGTGTATTTTTTTTTAAAAACTTGGTGCTTGTTGTGCTCTTCCATACATAAATGTTTCAAGCTGTATTTATTTTTCCATTGGGCATCTTATCTAGCCTTGATTTGCTGGAATGCTTGTAACAGGTGCAAGCTGTGTTGTTTCTTTTGGGAGAGCCTGAGACATCCACAATTGCACCAAACTCTGAATTTTTTCTCCAACAGAATGCCAGGGTATTTCCTGTACCACCCGCATGCCGATTCATTTGAACAGATTGTTTGTTGGTTTTTTCTGTATATTTTAATGTTTTCTAACTACTTGTCCCAGAGTGCAGGTGATGCCTCACAGGGCTTGAAATTTTCACGAAGAATTGCCTCCTTGGAAAGGTTTCGTGAAAAGCGGAAGGAGAGATGCTTTGAAAAGAAAGTTAGGTATACATGCCGAAAAGAGGTTGCTCAGAGGTAGGTGCAAAACTCCATGTGTTTTGTCATAATAAAGGTGGTGACTTTTCCGCGTGAATGCAATTTCATTAAATACATACACTTGCTGAAAGTAAATTGAATAAATAACAAGATCCCTGTTTTCGGGGCCATATTATAATGATCTTTCAAGAACTAGAAATGGGTTCCAAGGGACACAAATATGCATCCAGCAAATAAGGTGAACTGAACTTTGTTATTTTATTTCTTTTCCTCCTTTTGTCGTCATGTTTGTGAGGGTGCGTGTTGAGTTCCGGATCTCTTCTTTTCTTCTATTAGCATCTGAAATGACTATTAATTGTAGAAGCTGATTTTCTGCCAGGATGCACCGTAAGAAGGGACAATTTGCATCGTCGAATGATTGTTACAGCACAGATACTGGCAACTGGGAACCTAGCAATGGCATGCCTAATCCTGAATTTGTGTGAGTCAAAGCTTATCATTCACTTGTATCATTTCCTAAAACATGCTTTGAAATATGTGTTTTGCTTTCATAAGGATTATGTAGTGCATGGCTTATTGTGGTTACAAGTTTCTGCATTTTACTTTAGTTTGCTTAGATGTCAACACTGTGGCATTAGTGCGAAGGATACCCCAGCCATGCGACGGGGACCAGCTGGTCCAAGAACTCTTTGCAATGCTTGTGGCCTTATGTGGGCAAATAAGGTAGGCATCAAAGTGTTGGTAAATCTGCTGATTAGGCTATACAGTTAACAGTGCTGATACAGCATTTTTACTTGTTTTTGATTGTCATTGGTCAGGTTTAGGAGCCAGCTTTTCTTGTAAAAACATAATTGTTCTATATGATACATAATTTGCAAATCGAATTTCCCTCCTTTTTTTGGTAGACTATAAATTTGATCTTTTATTTATCCAGGTGCTCACTTACTCATAATTCTGAAATTGTGAGCTTGTATCTGACATGATAATGTCATTATCAATATTTATATTCACGGCATGTCCTCTTCTAGGTATTTATGTTTGTTTAGTATTAACTAGGTCATGAGTTAGAATTTACCATTTCTATTTTTGGTCCAATTTCATTTTTCCATGCCTTTTGTCTTGAAGGGAACTTTGAGAGATCTTAACAAAGGGGGACGGCATATTTCCTTCAATCAAAATGAACCGGTGTGTACCTTTACCTACCGAGTTTGCTTTCAAGTACAGACAGCATTCATTACCAGTATCGAGTCGTTGCTGTTTTTGTTCTTTATATCTTTCCAAGCAGATTGTTGATGAAGTAATATGATTATTCTTATTGGTTGTTTCATGGAGTCATGAGTATTTCTTTTCCAAGTAGAAATTCCTGTTTGGAGTGATAAATCTGTTGTTATTGCAGGTGACTCCTGATTTTAAACCTTTAAACATGGAACTTGAAAACCCTTTCGCTAATCCAGAAGAAGAGGTATGATCGCTATATTTGTGAGACAGATGTCTGAAGCAACATAATCTGAAATGCAAATACATCATTAGATTGCTAAGATTGCCCCTTTTTTATGTTGTCATAATCTATTGGAATAGCTCCATAATCAGAAGATATTGATTGATCCATGAATACTCTGTCAAATTTTATCTTTTGTACTTGATTCTGATGGACTTTGCTTTTTCAATGATCAGGAGAGCCAAGAAGAAAGTAAACCTGTTCCATTAGAGTCTGAAAACTCTATTAGGCCAAATGAGCAGGTGTGCCATTTTTCAAGACTTGTGAAGATGATTTATCAACTATCAGATGGCATGATATTTAAGTAGATGGCATGTTGATACTGAATTCTACATCCTATTTTAGATATTTCAAAATCATTGTTTCCATCACACCAGTCCACCTGTTAACCAGCAAATAAGTCATCTCTCCTTTGGGTTTAGAAGTTGCGATGTCCTTTTCTTTTTCCTTCATTCAAAAGACCCAGTCCTAGGAAGCTGTAATACTTGTCTAATCATTTTATTTGAATCAGACAATTGGACTTGGGAGGCCACATACTTGAAATGGGGAATGAGCTGGTTACTTTTAGCTGGAAACATCATGTTCCTGCTTTTTTAGTATTGCTTACGTAGTGTGTTCCAGTAAAGTCTCCAGTTTGAGAGCTGTGGTCTTAGTTTTTTCATAGGTTTTGATTATGAAAGTAATTGCATGAAGATTTACCTTTTGTTTCGATTATAATATTCACAGTTCTTAAGTGCAGGATATGCTAGAAACTGATAAAAATATTCCTCATCCTTTGCCCATGCATGTGGAGAATTCATCAGTCAACCTTGATGATGAGGTAATAAGATTGCTGGAACATCTCAAAATTTCAGTATGACTACTACCCGTGTCCAAAAAATCAGTGCACTTCTGTCTAACAAGTTTTCCCAAAATGTTTGTCTTCTATTTAAACGTCAAAAGTTTCCATTCATTTCCCTTCACGGTCCTGCTCATGAGTAATGCTACATAAAAAAAACCCACATCTTTGAAGGGTAAGGGTAGAGTTGGTGGAATAACATATTTTATTGTTGCCATGTGTCTGACGTGTACCAGGACTTTGAGAACACTTTGGATGAGCTTGGTGATGTTTCAGGTTCAGAATTTGAAATCCCCGAGCATTTTGATGATCAGGTAGTGGTTTTTTAGTGACTTGGCATCAAGCATATTGCAGGCTAATTCTGTACTTCACCTGGGTTAAAAGCTGTAAACTTCAGTTCTCCAAGTTCACAGCAACAACTTACAGGTCCACATCGAGGATTCCAGTACAGGGACTGCGTGGCATGGGACTTGAGATCATGCTATCTGCCTGTGATGTTAACCCCCTTTAAGAGCATCCGGTTTCTTTCCAGGGATGAAGATGCAATTCTGATTTATACTAACATCTGATATCCAGAAATGGTTTTTGTTTATAGACAAAGTTTACTTGTATTAGCAAGTTGCTTGGCTTTCTCTTGATACTTTTATGCATTGCAGAATGTGAATACTGCTCTCTTCCTTCGTGCTATTCCCCCTCATTTAGTTCTACCCCATGAAACAGCTAATTGAATGGAAATGTGTTGTGGTGTAAGGTCTGCATGTCCTGGTGAATCCAGTAGCGTTTTGGTTCTAAAGTTTTAAGTAAAATAGATACTTCCTTAGTGCTATTAATGGATACTTTATCAATACTTCATTCATTATCTATAAGATAAAGAAATTCGATATAGATATTCTATCTATCAAGTTTCGAATCTATTATTCGACAATTATATAAAAAATAAAATAGTAATATATATATATATATGTGAGGTTAGGTTTAATTCGGGTTTCGGGTTGAGTCTTATAATATTTATATCGAATCCAGTATCTATTAAGTAAAATAATTATAAAAAAATCCATTCATTTGGGTCAAATTAAATCAATATTCATCATGTTCGGATTATATTGTCATTAATGAATATTTAAGAAGCAGCAGTCATATATGAAGGGATCATACCTGACTACAAATTGAAAAAGCCATGGATATTGTCTAGTTCTAAAGTAAAGGGGTTGAAAATATTTTTTTTATTTTTTTAAAAATTATTTTTAATATTAGCACATTAAAATAATTTAAAAATACTAAAAACATATTAATTTATTTTAAAAATATTAATTTAAAATAAAGAAAAAAATTAAATTTTTTTAGAAGTGTTGATATTTAGAGTATATTTAGTATTATGCTAAATTTATTGAAAATATATCGAAATAATATTTTTTATTAAAATTTATTTTTGATATTAATATATTAAAATAATATAAAAATATCTAAAAATAATTAATTTAAGGTAAAGAAAAAAATTATTTTTTTTAAAAAATCGGTTCTAAAACACAAAAATAAAGAGGTTGTTAATCAAATTTTAAAACTTGAGAGACCACACAGTAAATTTACCACAATGAAATACAAGTAGTGAAATTGCAGGACTATTTGATCCATGTCAAATTGTCAATGTCTAAAGTCAATGAATCGGCTCTGTTTGCAATGATTTTTCGCCAACAGTTTTCTAAAACCCTCCCTGGAATAAGAGCGAAACCTTGCATAAAACGAATTTTTAGCACTTACAAAACTGGCGAAAGCAGCCATGCACACAACTTGCTTGACAAAACTCCTCACCGAAATCTCTCATTTCAAATCATCAAGGAGCACCTTCTGTCGGGTTTTATCGACAATATCAATGAATTTACTGTCGCTAACGCCCTCAAAGCTTGCCGTGGATACCCACTACTCGGATCCCAAATCCACGGGTTTTCCATTATACATGAGTTCGTTAACGTCACTATAGTCTCTAATTCGCTAATGAATATGTACTGCAAATCTGGACAGTTTTGCAAAGCTTTATGTATCTTTGAGGATTTGACTCATCCTGACATTGTTTCTTGGAACACGGTGCTTTCGGGCTGCCAAACAAGTGAAGATGCGTTTAGTTTTGCTTGTAAGATGAATTCAAGTGGGGTTGTTTTCGATGCTGTTACTTATACTACAGTCCTTTCTTTTTGTTGGAGGCACGTGGAAGCCTACTTTCTCATTGGGTTGCAGTTGCATTCTTGTATTGTAAAGTTTGGGTTTGATAGTGAAGTTTTCGTTGGGAATGCACTCATAAGTATGTATTCGAGATGGGGACATTTAGTGGAGGCTAGAAGAGTGTTCGAGGAAATGAAAACTAGGGATCTGGTTTCTTGGAATGCAATGATTTCAGGGTATAGCCAGGAAGGTACTTATGGCCTTGAAGCGATTTCAATGTTCCTTCAAATGTTTCGGGGAGGAATGGAGCTTGATCGCATCTCATTTACTAGTGCAGTTTCAGCTTGTGGATATGAAAGGAACTTGGAGCTTGCCAGACAGATACATGGTTTGAGTATAAAAACAAGACATGAGAAGCATGTTGCCGTTTCTAATGTTCTGATCTCAACATATTTTAAATGCCAAGTTATTGAAGATGCTAGATTAGTCTTCCAAAATATGAACGAACGCAATGTAGTTTCATGGACTACGATGATATCTATTGATGAAGCAGAAGCTGTGTCTTTCTTTAATGAGATGAGATTAGATGGTGTTTATCCCAATGATGTTACATTTGTTGGCTTAATCCATGCTATAACAATTGGGGAGCTTGTTGTGCAAGGAAAGATGGTTCATGGGTTTTGTACAAAGACCGGTTTCTCATCAAAATCAAATGTTTGTAATAGCATCATCACCATGTATGCTGAGTTCAAGTTCATGCAAGACTCAGTTAAGGTGTTTCAAGAGCTTAAGTACCAGGATATCATAGCATGGAATGCTTTAATTTCTGGGTTTGTACACAACGGGTTGTGCCAAGAAGCTATCCGGGCATTCTTCTCAGGACTTATAGAATCCAAGCCAAACCAATACTCATTTGGTAGCATCTTGAATGCAATTGGTGCTGCCGAGGATGTATCTCTAAAATACGGTCAAAGGTGCCACTCTCAGATAATAAAACTTGGACTCAACACTGACCCAATTGTTTCTAGTGCTCTCCTCGATATGTATGCAAAGCGTGGGAGTATTTGTGAGTCTCAAAAAGTTTTTGTGGAGACGCCTCAGCAAAGTCAATTTGCCTGGACAACAATCATCTCTGCCTATGCAAGGCATGGGGACTATGAATCAGTCATGAATTGGTTTGAGGAGATGAGGAGGCTTGAGGTGAGACCTGACTCGATCACCTTTCTTTCTATATTAACAGCCTGTGGAAGAAGGGGAATGGTTGATATGGGCTATCACCTCTTCGGCTCAATGGTTAAAGACTATCAGATAGAACCATCAGCGGAGCATTATTCTTGTTTGGTGGATATGCTGGGTCGTGCAGGGCGACTAGAGGAGGCAGAGAGATTGATGAGTCATATTCCAGGGGGTCTCGGATTGTCTGTGTTGCAAAGCTTGCTAGGAGCATGTAGGGTACACGGGAATGTGGACATGGGAGAGAGGGTAGCCGATGCTTTGATGAAGATGGAGCCAACAGAGTCAGGCTCCTATGTGTTGATGTCCAACTTGTATGCTGAGATTGGAAAATGGGAAATGGTGGCAAAATTAAGAAAAAGGATGAGAGTGAAGCGAGTGAAGAAGGAAGTAGGATTTAGCTGGGTAGATGTTGGTGGCATTGACAGTTCCTTGTCTTTACATGGGTTTTCATCAGGGGACAAGTCCCATCCACAATCTGAGGCAATATGCAGGATGGCAGAATGTCTGGGATTCGAAATGAAATTTTTGAGAGAGGAAGAGATAGAGTGTCAGAAACACAGTCTCATGTGCGATGGAGATCTTGTAACCCCTCAATAAGGGAGGATAATTTTTAGCGAGAGAGAGAGCAACAGATCATAGGCGGCATAGTTTAATGTTTTAAAGATGGTAATATTGTAACCCTCAATAAGGGGCGGCGGTCATGCTTTCCAATGGAATCATGCATTCCTTTCACAGGGTCAATATGCAAAATGCATGTAACCTTGATTAAAAATGTCACTGCACCTCAAAACAATTCACTGTACCAGCAAGAACCTTCAAATTGTCATTTGGGATGGTGCTTGTAGCCTTAACGCAAATGGAGGTGGTTATGTTTCTAACTTTCCACCCCCTGCTGTGTGAATATAGCAAATTTTTGTTTCAATTAGAAACATATTAGTGATCGGTTCAAACCTTTTTTGGGCCGAGGATGGGAAAATTACGAGTTTCTCTTACCCAAATCTCATCATACTAAAATTAAAATTAAAAATTATAAAAAAAGCTATGAAGCTTCGGGAAAGCATTGAAGATGCTCACTCATAAATTTTATTTGTAACAGTGTAATGGTAATTTTATCTTTTTATCCAAAATACTTGACATTAGTTTCAAAACTATTGAGGTTTTTTTACAGGGTTCATTTAACATTATTAAATTGATCAATTTTTTTTTTTATCATATTAATTACAAAGTAAGATAACCAAAATATTATTGGAAGTAAAAATTTAAATTGATGTTAATGGATATTTTTGTATTTTTATAATGGTTTTTTTGGTATTATAATGTAATATGAGAGATGATTTGGTATGAGACCAAATATAAAAATAATAAACAATTAAAATGCACAATAAAATAATAAAAATATCCTTAAAAGTAAAAAATTTAAAACTAGAATCACGAGGCTTTTGGTCTTTTTATAGTGATTTTTCTTGTTATTATCAAGTCAGTTTAGAAGTAATTTGTTATTTTACTAAATAAAAAAAATAAAAAAATCACAATGTTAAGCACATAAAGCACACTCCCAAGTCCACAAATGCCTTTTCTTAGTGTCATTAAAAGATCAATTGCATTTTTTTCCTAATAGAGTGGCACATATTAACTATGGTGGTCTGGTTATTCACCGATGAGCCTTTTTTTTTTTTTTTTTCGTTCTCTCTTCAACCTCGAAAAGTATAGCTTGATCCTCTCTTTTTTTGTTCGTGTTTCAAGTTTCAGTCCTTATTCTTTTGATTTTAATTTTTTTTCTTGGTATTTTTATAGAAATTTTATTTGTTTTCAATTTTGTCCATCAAATCTAATTTGACAGATATTTATTTCCAAGTTGGTCCTTATTTTTTATTTTTATTTTTTTTCTTGCTCCTTTTGTAAAATTTTTATTTGTTTTCAATTTCATCATTCAATCCATATTTATAGTGTTATGTTTTTCAATTTGGTCCTCATTTTTTTTATTTTTGATTTTTTTCTTGGCTCTTTTATAAAACTTTACTTTTTTTTTCAATTTTATCATTCAGTCTAAATTTATGGTATATTATTTTTACTAATATGGTCCTCATTCTTTTTTTTTTCCTTTTTTTAAATGAATTTTCTTTTCAATTTAACCCTTTAATCATTTTTTATTTTTATGTCAATTTTAATTCTCATTCTTTTGCTTTTTTTGTCCTTTTGCTAAATTGATTTTTTTTTCAATTTCACCCTTTAATCCCATATAAAATTTATTTTGTATTTTAATTTTGATCCTCATTGTTTTAAATACTATTTTCTTAATTCTTTTCTATAATTTTGTTTTTTAGAAATTGGGCTTCATAGGTTTTTCAGATAGAATGCTTCAGGTCTAATAATCTAGGTTATGGGCTTGAGTAGTTAACATGATATAATATTTTTTTTAAAACAAATAGGTTTTTAATTCTTTTTATCCTTTTCTATCGGGTTATTTTAATTTCATGAATTAGGCTACGAGTTTGATATTTTAGGTTGGCTCAACCCTGATGATTACTTGAGTTACAAGTTTATCATGCTAACTCAGATTGACGAAGACTATTTTTTTATGTCTTTTTTTACACCATTTTGTTCTTTCATATTTAATAGTCTATGAATTGAGCTGTGTTGTTTGTTCTCTTTTGAAAAAATATTTTCCCCCAAGTTATCTTGATTAATTTTCTTTTTGAATTTGATCCATCTATTATCATTTTTTTTTTGTCAAAGTAAAATAAAGCAAACTCATTTTACCTAGTCGAGTCTATGATCAAATTGTGAATTTTTCTTCCTTTCAAAGAATATGCTTTTGACACCTAAACATCATTTTTTGTGCAAAGAAAATAGTTCGACCCCACGGCAAAACGCAAATACTTAGCCCATTACAAAACTAAAATAATTAGAGGTTTTACTGTTTTATTTAGTGTAAGATCATCTTATAATAGCATTGTGAATTGCTACAGGACATCCATAATTATTTTTTAATTGTTCATAAGGGATGAAAATGTTTGGTTTGCTCTCTTGAGTTTTGACTTTTTTACATCTTTTGTGAAACCTTGAAAATTTATAATTTAAATATGCGGATGTGTAAACTCTCATGTAAATATAAGACTAAAAGTTATATGATCTTAATGAGTGATGAAAAAGAACATAAGAAATAATAGATAAATAATGATATATAATGGAGAGGGTGACTGATTAGTACTTAAAAGTGTTAAGCTGGTTGGGGGGTGTGATTAGTACTTAAAAGTGCATTTTTATCATGGTTTTATATCATCATTTTGCACTTGAAGTATCAATAACTCCTTAACCAAAACATGTTTTATAATAATATATCTAATAATATAAGATACCTATAATTTGTGGTAAATGTCTATTTTTAATGCAGGCCTATCACATAAATGAAAGGATTGATTGATGACTTGAAGAACTTAAATTGCAAGGTGACACGACGAAAAGATTGTTGTCTTCTCCCAAGTGCAGGAGTGTCGAAGTAATAAATAACCCGGTAAGACCGGGGTCGAACCACAGGGAGGTTAATTGTACAAATTATAAATAACAATAATACAACAACAATAACAATAACAATAACAACAACAATAATAATAAC